GCAAATGTGTGCAGAACAGAGTATTAACTACTTGCCAGTAAAAAACAGAAGTCTTTTCACCATAATGTTCCCAAGCAGGCTGGAACTTTTCAGAAGAGCATTCCCTAAAAAAGAGACAATCAAATGTAATGAAAGAGCTAAGCTCTAGACTGAAATAGTCCCTAGGTGGGACTAACTCCGCACAGGCTAGGTGATCTCCAAGCAGGTTTCTTAATGTCTCTGAGCCCCAGCATTTTTTAATCTAATAAAAGAGAAGAAGCCAGGCACAGTGGTTTGCACCTATAGTTCCAGGTGCTCAGGAGGCTGAGGTGGAGGATTACTTGAGGCCAGGGGTTTGAAATCAGCCTGGGCCATATAGCAAAGCCCTGTCTCATACAAAGAAACAAACAAAAAAGAGGAAGATGGTAACATTTACCTCCAAAGAACTGTCAAAGAACCTGGTACATGAATACTTTCCTTTCCTGCCCACCATGGAAATAAAGAAGAATCACTCTTTTCCTCCTCTCCATTTTTTCAAATTGTTTTCTGATGGTGGTAATTTTTGTATTCACAGCTCTAACTGAGATCAAATTGATGTACCATAAACTACATATACCCACTCGAATTGTACAGTTTCAGGTTTTGGCTTATGTATACTCCATGAAACCCTCACCACAACCCAGATAATGAGCATATCTGTCAACCCCAAACTTCATGACACTTTCCAGTGTTTTATTTAAACTAGAATTTTACAGACAAAATTATACAGTATATATTCTTTATGTCTGGCTTCTTTCACTCAGCATAATTACTCTGAGATTCTGACACGTTTTAGCTTGTATCAATAGTTCATTTCCTTTCTGTTATTGAATAGTATTCCCTTGAATGCATGTACCACAATTTATTTATTCACTCAGGGTGGACATTCGAGAAGTTCCCACTTTGTAGTTATCCCAAAAGCTATTATGAATACTCACCTATAAACCTTTGGGAGAGCTTACATTTTCATTTCCCCTGGGTATGTGTTAGATCTTTAAAATGAATCTCATGCAGTTCAAGTGCAGCTATTCATTCTAGGCTCTTTAAGGGCAAAGCCAGAAACAATGGCTGTTTTAACTTTCCCCCTTTTGATTTCACATAGTTCTTGTTCTCTTTGATTAAAATAGGGCATGAGCCAACCCCTTTTGCCTGGCTAAGGGTGAGAGTCTTAGATGTTCTCAGTTCTACACATGACTGTGAGCCCAAGGGTGGGCAGCATGAGTCCAGGTCAGCCAGGGAGCTGAGATCATGAAAGATCTCCTCTTTCTTCTTTATCCAGAAAAAAAATTTAATTTAATTTAATTTTTTTTTTTTTGAGATGGAGCCTCAAGCTGTCCCCCTGGGTAGAGTGCCATGGCATCACAGCTCACAGCAACCTACAACTCCTGGGCTCAAGCGAGTCTCCTG